CCCGTTACACAGGGCAGACAGACTGCACGCGCCGGCCCTTACCGGCACGGCTCAGGACAAGCAGCACCAAGCGGTGCCAGAGCCCTCGTCTCCCCAGTGCACCCGGCCCCCGGCGCAGGGGCTCGCAGAATCATGGAATCAGAGAGCGGTTTGGGTGGGAAGGGACCTTAAAGCCCACCCAGTCCCACCCCCTGCCATGGGAAGGGACACCTTCCACTCAGGTTGCTCCAAGCCTCATCCAGCCTGGCCTTGACTTCCAGGGATGGGAACATCCAGGGATGGGGAAAGGATGCCCCCTGCCCTCTCCCTGCACTGAAGGGTGCCCAGCACCATAATTAGGAATGCCACGCACCCATCTCCGCGGAGGTTTCCCAATAGGAAGCCCATGAGGGCGGTGGTGCTTCCTCGGCATGAGGAGGTTTCTGTTCCAAGAGCTCCAGCGCCGGCAACGGCACGGGAACGGGACGGCACAGGGCAGCACCCAAGCAACGGCGAAAACGTGTAGCACTACTTAATAAAATATCCTGGATCTGAGGAACGGGGATGCAAATTTCGGGCAGGAAAAGTTCCGAAGACCTTCAGGATGTGCCAAAATTAGGGGCCACTTGCCACTCGGTTTGAGGTCAGCTCAGACCCATGTAACTCGGGGAAACAAGGAATTCCAGTTTATTCACCAAACTGCTCCCTGGGATCTGTATTGCTCAGTCGGGGCAAAAAACCCCTCACCAAGAGCTGGGAGCAGGCCAGCTCTGCCTCCTCCTTCCTCATTTCCAGCTGCGCAGGGAGGGGAACGGGAAACGCCGGGCGGGTCCAGCCCTGGCTAGAGGAGAAACCTCTTTTCTGCAAGGAAGGTTTCCCGGTGGAAGAGGGCTGTCGGGGATGCACATCCCAAAATACCTAAGAAGGCCACACCCAGAGGGACCTGTCATTTAATATCTACTGAAATCGTAACTGGAATCCACTTCTTCCCCTCCTGCTGCAGTCCCACGCTGCCCATAAAACGTGCTATGGCATCCCAAAGGTATTTACACTACGCGTTACTATTTGATTCTGATTATTAGGCGAATAGAATGCTTTTTGGCTGACTCGTGGAGCGGCCAAAGCAAGATTTCCTAGGACTGGAGGGCGGTTTGTGACAGAGGGTGGCAGAACTGTACGACGTGGCTGACAGGGCCGCTCTCTCCTCGCTGACAGATTCCGCATCCATACAACTGCCTTCTCCCTAGAAGTTACCTACTAAAACTGTTGCCGGTTTTATAAGAGAAATCAGCCTTACTTATCAAATACATAACTGGGGTGCTTATGACACAGGAAGGAAAGACACAGTTTTGCCTCCAAGGATCCCAGCGGGGCCGTGGGCTTCTGGACTTGTAAGGACCAGAATTTGTTCACCGCCGAAGACACACGCACACTCGCCTACCAAAACCAGGCAACGGGCAAAACTCTGCTTAAGAATGACCATTTCTCAGTGAGCTGGGGGAATCCACCCAGGGAATGTCCAGCCTTTTGATGTCAGGCCTCCTGCGTATCACCCTGAGTACGCTGAATTCACTGTGGACATCGGGGTGCCGCAGTAAGGGGGATGCTGGGGTCTCCTGCCATGGCAACACACGACGGCACCGGGGGCAGAGTCAGACAGACAACCCTCAGGGTGGCACGAGGGTTTCAGGTGGTAGTAAAAGCAGATCCCGGGGCAGTCGGCATGAGGACAGAGTGGGCTCAGGCTGCGGAAAGATGGGAGGATGGTCCCTCCCTCGGAGTCCCAGCAGAAGCTGGTGCCAAAACCAGCACACGAATGGAAGGCGAGGGGTGCAGACAGCTACAGATGCCCGCGAGGAGAGATTCTGGGTGAGGAGGAACCTCCTCCCGCACAGCGAGGGGTGTTACGAAGCCCTAGTCCCTGGCAGGGCATTGTCTCGTGAGGCCAACGCAGAGGCGACGGTAGTGGTGGAAAATGGGGCCGGAGGTGGAGTGGCACCAGTGAATATTTGTGATTTCAAGCTCTCGCTGCCTAGGGAACTAGGTACCTTCAGCTACAGGCATTGCTTATCTCGGAGAAGTAAAACACCCTCCATCACAGTTGTGTTTTCTTCTCTGTTAACTCCTTCATGAGATTAATGACCGCCCGGTTACTTGCCACGCTCTACATCAGCACCTGGTAACAGCTACTGTGCACGGGCAGAAGGAATTGCAAATGAAAGGAAAATGTTCTTGCCAGAGAATTTGAAATGAGGCGCTGACAGTGACAGAGGGGACGCTCTGCTGAGACCCTACGAGAACGACCGAGGGTGGAAGTCAAACCAAATTCATCAACCGAAGTGATGAAACAATTAGGGGAACGAAATCTGCTACCTAAAAATGATGCGGCAGCACCTTCAGCGTGACCACAGAAACACACAGAAATGCTCCTATTTCAGGATCACACGCCGGAACAGGGGAGATCCCAGCTCCTGAAGCCCATCAGGAGAAACCATCTGACGTAACAAGCGCCGTTAAGCACACGCAGCTCAGCACATCCTTGGTGCTGGGGAGACACACACCCACGAGACCTGTCCCTGCACGGAACCACGGAGCCCTGGCACGACTCGGCTGAGCCTTCGCCACGGCGCGTGCCCGCTGCTCCACCCCCAGGCCACCACCTCACCTTACTCTGCTGTTACTTCTGAACGTATTTTACCCGTACCGACTTCTGCTACTCGGCGCAGCTTTCGATAAAGCACCTTGGTTATCCTAGGACTCTCTGGTTCATTTTGTACGTCACTCAGCTTCGCTCTTCTCTTTGTTTCGCTGGTTTCTGAACAGATTAGGGATTAAACGTGAGCTGCCTATCGCAGCCGTCAGAGCTGGTAGGTACTGCGGTGCCCGTGCCGGGTAGGAGGGGCAGGGGGAGGCAGGAGGAGAGAGGCTACCGGCGACGTTTGAAACACCCTTGGTTTGCTTTATAAATCCGATTAAAACACCATTAACCTCTAACCCTTGGTCCGTGTCAACGGCTTTAAAAACTGTTACAAGCCTTTCAGACAACTACGACGCCTCTTTTCCTTTTGTCAAGGATAACACTGCTTGCTGCCAGTGGTAACACGTTTTCCAGGAAACAACCTTGCGGGGCACAGGGCAGAAACCCCTGTTCTGCATGGACAGCCGGTATTTTTTTTTTAATTATCACAGCCATATCTTTTTTAACTATCACAGCCATTCTGTGATTCTAAGTACTGCCAGTTACAGCTCCGTCACACCGTGACTCTAGAGCTCCTTACACCTGTCACATCAGCTGCAAAGGTGAGAACTGTAAACCTGCCTTGCTCTGTCGTCTACTTAACGCTTATTAAACTGCGTGTGAAGCTCCTTTCTCCCTGCACCTTCCTGCCCCCTCCATGTGGAAAAGCTGGGTGCGCCATACGGATTATTTTTCTTTTAGAGTTTGAATTGTGTCCCCTGGCTTATTCCTGTGCCAGATTGGAAGCGTTAGCCCTTTCCTGCAGTGCCAGTCCCTCCCAGGCTGGTGCCGGCACCCACGTGCCTCGCTCGGTATCCCTGGGGTGGGAGCAGAAGCCACTTGCTGTGCTACAGTCCCGCTGCTCTCAGTGGTGTGGCACACCCCAGTGACACCTTCCCACGTCCCCAGTTTGTGTTCACTTCTGAGACCGATTTTCCAAGCACTACAGGTGACACGCTGCTATAAAACCCTATAAAAGTACCACCACACCAAAACTAAAAAAGCGGTTAACGTCTACTGACACCGGAATCATCGTGTTTGCAACAGCAAGGGCTCGGTGGGATTACAAAGCAGTTAAACCCATCCATACCTGGAGGATCTTGTCGCCAGGCTGGAGCAGGCTGGACGCTGGTCCGTCAGGCTGAACCCTAGTAACAAAGATACCCTATAAGTCAGAAGTAACAGAGGTTAGGATGCTATCACCAAGAACTACTTCCCAAAATACAGGTCTCTTCCTAACTGGTGTCTGGGGGCTTCACAAAGTCTGGCAGGGGTCTAAACACTAAGCTGGGTCTTTAACCTGTTTGTAATCAAACACGGTACGGGTACAAAACCGAGTACGGGTTTGTAGCAGCTCTCCGTGACCATCAGCCAGTTATTGCCCGATACAAACGTCACTGTGGGTCGCTTGAAACTAAGGCTCCACGTCACAAAACCATGTCCAGTTTGAACAGGGCAAGAGTAACAGGGTTAGCGGGAGGACAACTAAAATGGAGCAAGCATTAATTTATTAGGATAATGCGTATCTTAATCTACTCATTAATCTTTTAGGGAAAAAAATAAAGTTTAAAAACATTTCTAAAAGAACAGCCTTGATATTCAGCATTGAGGTACTCAGAACAAGGGTCTGTCACTTAATCCAGTGTCAGAGGAGTGAATGACTTTGAAAGGGGGAAAAATCATTAAGTAATAAAGGCTATTTTTAGGTTTGTTTTTAGAATTTTGGTAAAATACGTTAATGAGACCCAAACTCAACGACTGAGACGATGAACACATTTGACATTTCCCATACAGCTCGGGCAGCCCTGTCCGTGCGCGCCCGCTGTCTCGCCGTCGCTGCCAGGCTTACCCTGCCGCCGAGGGCCAGTGCCTTAAGCAGAGGCTAGAATGAGCACAGGCTAAATTTTAGCCATTTCATAGAAACATAGAATCACAGAATGGTTTGGGTTGGAAGGGACCTTAAAGATCATCTAGTTCCAACCCCCCTGCCACAGGCAGGGACACCTTCCACTAGACCAGGTTGCTCCAAGCCTCATCCAACCTGGCCATTTACGCTGCTCGCAGAGAAATTCCCTGCTCAGCATCATCACCCAAACGGTGTGCGTCCTTGAGGGGTTTTACAGCCTTCTGGAGCACCGGGTGGTATTTCTGTGGAGCGT